AATCTTTGAGTATACAGTTATATTGTTATTTTCACAAGGAAAAATGGTTGGGTTGATCCACACTAAACTTGGCAGATATTTTGGGAGATGATATGATATAAAATATAGGGCTTTGCATGAAATTTGCCTGTAACTTTATGTGTGGAGGGGTAGAGTCGCTTCTGGTTGATGTCTGAAGCAGATGGCAGGCAACCTGCAGAGTCACTGGAGTTAAAAACCAAGTAGATGAGCTGGGCACTGGTGGCTCATACCTGTAATCCTAGCTACTCAGGAGGCTAAGATCTGAGGATCATGGTTCAAAGCCAGCCTGGGCAGGAAAGACCATGAGCTTCTTATCTCCAATAAACCACTCAGAAAACCAGAAATGGCTCTGTGGCTCAAGTGGTAGAGTGCTAGCCTTGAGCTGAAGAGCTGAAGAACAGGGCCCAGGCCCAGAGTTCAAGCCCCATGACTGACAAAAAAACCCCAAACAAACCACCACCACCACCAACAAAACAAATAGATGCTTTAAAACATGAATTTTGAGCCAACATTCAGCAGAGTCATTTTGTATTCAAGAGTCTGTTTTTTCATCTGTGTCGCAGGCTTGAAGGCATATTATAGCAAGAATTTGTTATCCAGTTGTCATTAGTTAATAATTCTCCCAAGGATAAAAGTTTCATAGAGTCCACAGAAATTCATATCCTCTATTCTATCCAATTGTAAACACTAAAAGTTGGGATTTCATAATTCATTATCAGCTTTGTCCTAGGCCAGCTATGTACCAGCCTAACACTTTCCTCTTGGTGTTGGAAATTGTTTGTCCTTCCAGATCCACCCCATCCTTTCCTTCATCTTCTCCCATGCCCCGCAATGCCCCATGATGCCCCAATGAACTAGTGTACCAACTCCCTTCCCTCTGTTTTTCATTTGTATTTGACCTGGGTGGAGGGAGGCAATAGACAGTAGCAAGAGAGGTTAAGTTTCATGGTTGCTTTTCCAGGAGGTTTTACCAAGCTGGCTGCCTTTCCATACAACCTTCTCTGTCTCTAGGACTCCAAAAGTAGCTCCCTCTTCTTACCTGGAGGTGTAACTCTCCAGGTGCATAGGTGGCTTTGTCATTTCCCTACATTATGCCCACACCTTCGTAAATAGTTCCATTATAAAACTTCCCCTTTGAATTTCTCTAATTTTGGCATTGCTGTTTCTGGCTAAGGTGCTGCTGTTGATACATACCTTATTTTTGTAGAGCTGCTGGGTTTTCATTGTTCCTTCCCAGACTAAGTTTTGGGCAAAGAAAATAATCTATTTCTTCTTCTGCCTGCTCTCACTTCAAAATCCTGTGTAGGATTTTTACTTTTGTGTGGACTCTTCTTGTTCATTCTTCTTCCTTATTGAGGGAGTTCTCTCCTAGTGGATTCTAGCTAACTCAGAAGGGGACTAAGATTATAGATTCAAAGAGTATCCTCATTTACATTCTTGTAAAACAAAATCATTGTCTTTCATTGGTTTGTAGCTGAAACTCTATTCCAAGTAATAATTCTTAAGAGTAGATCCATTTGAAGCTCAATAGATACAGTACTAAAAAATAGATTAGTTAGAATCCAATGCTCCTAGACAGAATCCTGGCCTAGAAAGTAGAAAATAGATGCAAAAGAGACAACATTGTTTTGAGATTATAGCTGGCTCAAGCCTGAAATCCTAGCTACTTGGGAGGCTGGGATTATAAGCTGGCTCAAGCCTGAAATCCTACTACTTGGGAGGCTGAGATCTGAGGATCATGGTTTGAAACCAGCCAGGGCAGGAAAATCCATGAGATTCTGATCTTCAACTATCCACCAAAAAGCTGGAAATGGAGCTGGGGCTCAAGTGATAGAGCAATAGCCTTGAGGGAAAAGCTAAGGGACAGCACCCAAGCCTTGAGCTCAAGTCCCAATATCTATACAAAGAGCAAGAAGAAGAAGAAGAAGGAGAAGAAGGAGAAGGAGAAGGAGAGGGAGAAGGTGAAGGAGGAGGGGGAGGAGGAATGAGGAGAAGGAGGAGGAGGAGGAGGAGGAGGAGGAGAAAAGGTTCCAATGGGCAACAAAACAACAGAACATCTTGCTTCTTCTAGTTTTGATAACTTTCTTATGATCCCAAGGAGGAGATTTTCAGAATGTAACTAACTAGGAATTAATAACTAACCAAAATGCCATGGAACCAGACCAATAAAAAGTTAGTTACTTTCCCAAACACCTAATTATAACAGGGGCAATGTAGTGTTTGAAAACCCCTAGACAGAGCAGTAGGAATCTTTACAGGGGTTGTGGTTTACAAAAAAAGTACTCTGAACTGGGTGCTTGTGGCTCATGCCTGTAATCTTAGCTACTCAGGAGGCTGAGATCTGAGGATTGTGGTTCAAAGCCAGCCCAGACAATAAAGCCCATGAGCAGCTATCTTTGGAGACATATCCAGAAAAGTCATTTCCCTGGGGGCTTGATCCCGATTCCTATCAGGTTTCCTAGTCCAATAATCTGAGCTGGTCTACATGTTGGCTATGGGAGCCACTATTGTCCCTCTAGCCTAAAGAGCTCAATCAAAACTGGACAAGTCATCTCCTTGGTCTGTTTTCTCCAGGCTTACATCTAGAGGTGAAGAAAGATAGAAGAGACACTTCAAAATACTATACATATTTGCTCATGCTGGTGCAGTAGTTCATGCCTATGATCCTAACTACTTGGGAGGTAGAGATCAGGAGAATTGTAGTTCCAGGCCACCTAGGCAAAATAGTTTGTAAGACTTTCTTCTCAATCAATGAAGAGTTAGACACAATGTTTCATGGCTGCCATTCCAGCTTCAGTGAGAAGTGGAAATAGGAGGATTGATGTTCAAGTCAACCCAGGCATGAATGTGTGCACTTATTCTAAAAAATACCTAAAGCAATGGTTTGAAGGTATGATTCAAGTGCTAGAATACTGGCCTTGTAAGTGCCAGGCTCTGAGTTCAAACTCCAATACCACCAAGAAATTTCTTTTGTTCAGCCTTCATTCAGTCAGGTATAGTTGAAATTGATTAGAAATTATTTGTAAATAATGTGCTTTAATATTACTGAGATTAGTTTATATATTTTGTTAGTTATATTAGAAAAAGAGATATACATATCTGTAGCTATGTCTGTCTGTCTGTCTGTGTGTAGAGAGAAGGGAGATCTGAGTTCATTGGCTCTTTATTGATAGTCACCGGGGCCCATCTAATGATATTATTTCTTCACTTCAGAAGACTCACCTTCCAGAGTGGTTGCCCAATTGTGCCTATATCAGACACTGCTGCATAGCAATGAGATGAGATTCCATAAAAGGAAAAATATAACCAGATATTTTTCTTTGAGCTATATTAGGACTGCACCTTTTTGTATGATGTGAATGACCCACTGCACATCAGAAACTAAGGATACAGGCTGACTAAAAAATAAAGATAAGCAGAGGAAGAAGAAAAGGGGTGTGTGTGGAATAAAGGTTGAAAATTTTTTTTCAAGCCTTTTTCTCCCACAGTCAGTAGGGGGAAGAAGAATACCACCTATACATAAATTGTGGCTTAAGGTGATAAAAGGAAGCCAACAAATTAATCTAGCTGCTTTCATAGATGCTAAGTGCAATTCTGGATCTTCATTGATGAGGTCAGCTTGGTATTGTGCACCTTGACACTTGTGATGATGAAGTAAGCTATGAAGGAAGATGATCTAATTTCCCATGGAACACAGTTTCTAGAAAAAGTGATCACATGATCGTCATTATTTGCTTCATTGGTGAATTTCTCTTTACAATTTTTTTTACTCTCAATAATAATTTCCTTTCCAGCTGTGTTCTCTAATTGAATTTTTTGATTGATCACAACATCTGGAACCCCTTCATAGCGTGATTCTGCAAGGTGCTGCAGCTTAAAAGGAATTGTATGAACTAGTCCACTAAGAGTTGTCAAGGGCTCAAAATATGTCTGCTGAACACTGGCAACCCAACCTGTATATTAGAGATAGAAATGCCTTAGAAACAAAGGGTAATAAATTCTAACCAACTTAAGCCCATTTACAATACAAGAAAAAATCAAGTAGACTATTCATTATCTTTCAAGAAATAAAAAAGCAAGGGTGGTTGCTGGATTTAATTTTTAAAAAATCACCCAGGCTTCTTTTCTTCTTTCCCCTATGCTTTGTTTTTGTTTTTCTGTCATCTACAACAATCTTCTCTATTTCACCACTCTCACCACATGCCAACTGTGTCTCTAGTTTCCTCTACTCCTCTCAAGAGTTTTCCTTGGATGGCTTCCTGCACTATAACATAGACTAAATCCCTCATAATTAAATGACAGTGACATTCTCTAAAGGCAGAGCTCTTGTGGTACAAGGTAAGGCTAGCTTATGAAAATTCTCTTCTGTCTATTTAAAGTGAATTTTTCCTAGTATCCAAAGAGCTGAAAATGATCAGAATGAGAAAAATATTTGACAGCATACCAATTTAATGGAGATCCAAAACATTAAAAAGAAACAATCACAGCTAAGCATTGCCCAGAGAGGTCTGACTTGCTTCAGAATGGATTTCCTGGGCCTCATTATAAAACCTCTACAAACAGAGCCATGATGTCCTGTTTGCATGGTCTTCCTAGACGTAAACTGGAGTTTCCAATGAATTACAGTGCCTTTTCAACCTCACCACTCCGGTGTGGGAGGAACATCTGAAATACAGAAATGAAGAATAAAATACAGAAGTTAAGCACCAAAGCTTATAATAAGGGCCTTGGACAACAACAACAAAAATGGTGTCAATTGGTCCAGAATTTGGACCTTACATATAGCTCTTCTTCTCCCTCCCTCCTCCTTGCTACACCTCTGGCAATCTTCCACTTTGACATTTTCTGCTTTTCTGGAAGATCCTTTCTACATCCATATTCCTTGACAGGTAGAAGTAATGTGTGTCCCCTAGCCTTGTGCTAAGCTGAATGAATGACTTCATCCAGTGTTCTCAGTCTCTCTTGGTGTCTGGCCCAACTCAATCCTCTCTCCTCCTCTGCATCTTAGTCCTGGTCTCTTCTTGCCGGCGTCTCCAAGCAGCAATAATGGCTTCATCATCCATTTCTTCCTCTTCCTCCCTGTCAGTGCTTCTCCGATACTGGAACCGGCGTCCTGAGGCAAACCTCCCTTCTTCTCTTTTTTCTGTTCTCTCTTTCTCCCCTTCTTCTTCAGACCTCATGAAGCTTTGGGTGAACTTCCTCTTGGCTCCAAATTCGGAGAAGTCTGACTTGGATGATTCTTCTACATCTTCCCAGTCCTTGGGCCTGGCCCAATTTGGGCGCCGTGGCTCTGGGGATTCGTCCCCTTCGGAGGGATCTGGCGTCCTGCGGAAGAAGTAGGGCTCTGGGCTGTCTTCTCGGGAGCTTGAGGTCTCACTGAATGTGGACTTGGAGAACTTATGCATCTCTCTGCCTTCCCTGGTGGAGCAAGAAGAGAATCGTGAAGTACTCCTGACAGAGTTGCCGTTTGCCTCCTGGTAGGAGGAGGTGTCCTGTTCTTCTGACTGGGATTTGGAGAATTTGTAACTGGAAGATTTAGACTCAGTTTCCCGGAGCAGGGATGACCTGGTGTACTTTCCCCTGGAGCTTCCAGACCAATCACTTTGGGGAGGAGATTTCTCCTCCATCCTGAGGCCACTGAGCCACTTGTTAATACTGCTGTCCATGGCTTTGCCAGCTCTGCTGCCATTGCTATGGTGATCAGAGACAGCCAGGGAGGAGGCGTCTGTTTCAGGCCTTTGGGAATTACTTCGGGAGGAGTATTGGAAGCTCCCTATGGCACTGTCTGTGTCCTCATCCTGATTATCCACAACATCCCCTTCTTCTTCCTTCACTTTCTTCTTCTTGAAAAGGGAGCTCCGTTTGTTGTCTGAGGCCAGCTTCTCCACTTTGTACTCAGACATCTTCTCCCTCAACTCCATTTGCATCTCCTTCTCTTTCCGGCCCAGCTCTTTAAGGTCCACATTGTCAGCAAAGAGACTATAGATGGGCTTGCTGGTCCCCCTCACTTTGCTCCCACTTCCTTCAGCTCTGGAGCTCAGTGTCCCGTTGGAGGACAGCACAGACTGCGTGTCAGAGGTGGATCTAGCCTGGCTCTGAGGCAGCAGGCAGCCACCCAGGGAGGAGCCACTCCGTCCACTCAGCATGGAGACCTGGTCATCCCCCAGGCAGCTGGCTGCTGGTGCTGCCTTCATGCTTGCCACGGATGGGGAACGGGAGAGCAGCAGCATTTCATTTTGCTTCTGAGCAAGGGTTTCAGTGACGACATTGGCAATCCAGTTCTGGATACTGGCAATAGAAATGGTGTCCCCAGGCCCCACTGGCAGGTTAGGAAGTGGTGTGGTAGGATTGGAGGCTGAGCATCCCCTTACATTGCTTGTAGCCCCGGAGTGGTGGCTCTGGGCACTGAGTACCGACGCGGTGTCCCCATCAGCACTGACTGAGGGTGTTGCAGACCAGAACGCAGACAGGGGAATGCTGCGGCTGGCAGCTGAGCTGTCTGCCTCCCAGCTCCCCAAGGACTGGCTCTCTTCCAGCGTCTGTCTGCTTCTCTCCAGCAGCTCCAGCCTCCTTTGCCTCTTCTTGGCCAAGACAGTGTCCTCTCCTTTGCTCATCTCCACCACCTCCTCCTTGTTCTCATTGCCCACCTTTCTCTGGTGCTTTAGCTTCCAGGCCTGGTAGGCTGTGAGATTGACGTCTGAGAGCGAGGTCTCCCCTCCGGCTTCCTCCGCACCCAGCTCACTGCTGCCATCTCCTGCCTCTGAGTCTTTCTTGTGAAATCCGAACTGTATTCTCTTGATCTTCCACCTTTCCAGGGCAGTGAGCTTGTCCTTGTTCCTGCTGCAGAAGTTGTAAAAGGAGCTGGCAGAGGACACGCTGTCCTCGTCATCCTCTCGTGCCCTGTCCCCGGCCTCAGAGCTGCTGTCCACCTCCTCCCTGGTGCTCTTGGAGTGATACCTTCGGGAAGCTTCCTTTTCAATCTCCAGCAGCCTCTCGTTCCACATGTCCCACGTGCTCTCCGAGGACACAGAGTCCGAGCGGTGCCTGCCACCTGGTCTCTGGCTGCTCTTCTGCCCCTGCTGCTTCAGGATCTGGATGTCCTGGCTACGCATGTTGCTCTCAGAGAAGCTGCACTCGCTCAGGGTGTGTCTGCGCCTTCTGCCCTCCAAGGAGGAGCCTGCCCTGCTCTCCTCCTCTTCCTCCTCCCGACTCCACCTCTGGTGCCTTTCCGCTTGGTATCTCTCATTTCGGCTCTGCCACTCCTGGATGATCCTCTCCACTTCCTCCTCCCCAGAATCCTCCCCATCCTGGGCAGTGGTAGTAGAGCGCCTGTCCTCTCTGGCCTTGTGGGTGGGGAGGCCCTGCCTCTTTCTCCACTCCTCATACAACGTCTCCTCCTCCTCTTCATCAATGAGGGTGAGAGGCTTGGAGGCCTGGCTGGACTTGCCCAAGGAGGAGCAGCTCAGGTTGCTGGTGGAGTCATCCTCCTCCTCCACCATCAGCGAGTGCACCTTGGCACCCAGGGTGCTCCCGGTGTCCTGGCCCTCCTCGCTGCCGTCCTCCTCTTCCCTCTCTTCCATCAGCTTGTCGTTGAGTTCCCGCAGCTGCTTCAGGAAGCCGTCATTGGGGTAAATGGCCCTTTTCCTGCGCACGGTCATCAAAGCCTCCAGGATAGCCATGCTGTGGAAGATCATCAGATAGGCCACCACCAGCACTGCTGACCGGCTGATGCCCATTTCGCTGCTGACCAGGACTTTCCCTGAAAATCAAACACGAGACACAATGATGCAATTACAAAGGAGTGCTGTACTTGATGTGCTTATTTTGCTCTTGGTGTGTTCATTTATGCTTAAGTCATGTAAGGGGTGAACATCACAGTCCCATGAAGCAGTCCCCCTGTCTGCACTTCTGAAACACTTCCTCCCCACACCCTTTTCCACCAGAGGGAGAGAAATAAAAATGTAGAGGTAGGGGGAGAGAGAGAGAGAGAGAGAGAGAGAGAGAGAGAGAGAGAGAGAGAGAGAACTTGAAGTTTCTCTTCAAGTTCAATCTCTGCTGGACGCATCCAGTGAGCCTGACTGGCTCACATATGCACAGCCACACATGCCAGATTTCATACTAGGCTGCTCATTTTTGGGAAAACATCCATATATTAGGATGAAGTATAACACTGCAACAGACATTCTAGAATCAATAATGTATACTTTGATTTAAACCAACTAACGATACAAATGTCCTTAAGAAGATTATGGTCATACTCTTCCATGCTTCTCTTTTTCTCTTTCTGGCTGTTCTGTGTCTCTCAATCATTATTTAGGCATCTTTGTAAAAATTTTTATTTATTTATTTATTTTTGTTGGTCATAGGGCCTGAACTCTGGACCTGGGTGCTGTCCCTCAACTCTTCAGCTCAAGGTTAGCACTTACCACTTGAGCTACAGCGCCACTTCCAGCTTTTTCTGCTTATGTGGTGTTGAGGAATCGAACCCAGGGCCTCATGCATGCAAGGCAAGCACTCTACCACTGAGCCACCTTCCCAGCTCCTTCAGCATCTTTTATATATTCCCTTACTGTTCTAGCCACTATGCTTCAAGGGAAACATGGAGTTTATCAATTTTCTTTCCTTTTGAAATTATTTCAAGGATGGAGCAAGATAATTCAGGTTTGGACTGAATCATATAGAATAGGGTGGACCCCTTCTCACTTGTTCTAGACACCTGGCCTTCATGCTTGCCATCTGTGTTAATTTTTCATTACTATAACGAAGTACTTGAATCAGGCTACTTTATAAAGAAAATACTTTTATTTTGGCTTAGAATTCTGGAGATTCTTTTTTTTGGGGGGGGTCCGGTCATGGGGCCTGAACTCTGGGCCTGGGCACTGTCCCTCAGCTCTTCAGCTCAAGGCTAGTGCTC